TTGGTTGCTGGTCAAAGTTAAAATGAGGAAATATTTTGATATTTGCCTTCTATGTTGTTTGTTGTTTTGTTTTCTGAAATTTATTGTATTTTCAGTAATCATTTTTTTAGGGTCTCTGTTTTCTTGTGCTTTCAAATAAAGATTTCTGGTTTGTTGATTTGTCTTTTGAAATTCACAACTATGTTCACTTCTGTGAAATGTTTTTGTGGTTCAGTCAATCCTGATCAACTGTCACTTTGAGGGCAGTGACCAAGCTGATAGGTGTGGCCAAGATATTAAAACCACGTGTTATTCAAACCCTGGGTGAGTTTAGTGCAGGGCTGGTCTGATTGGCTGTTTTAAACAAAGTGATATTAACTGCGTGACTACTGTGAATCGTTACTATTGTCAGGCCAAAAAAGAAAATCTGTTAGAGCCGACTGTCATGTCTGAAACACCAGAGGAGACAAAGACAATGGAATTGCCAGCAGAATATGAGCAATGGGGACTGGATGAAATATGTGAGCACCTATTTCAACAAGGACTTAAAGACGTACTTACAAAAGGAGTGTTGTATGACATATTAAAAGGTTGGTTTTCTTGATTTGTAGATTAAATTGATTGTTAGTTTATTATTATTTAGTTTCCTAGATAAGCAAGCCAGTTGAGAGTTGCTGTAACTCAGATCTTTCCAATACTTACTGGTTGTGAGTCATAATAGCTAATATCAAGACTTGTAAAAATAAATTTCATGTATTACAGGACTGCTTAACTTAACGCCAGTTTGCAGTAAAGGATACCAGAAGACAAACCCAAGTGTTTCACAAAATACACAGGGGGAAAAAAAAACAAAAAAAGAAAAAAACACAACACACAAGACCCAGAGGCCTTTAATGTAAAATAAAACCAAATTAATCCTATTACATACCTTAATATAGGTATATAACAGTTCATAAATTCAGTTTTGCAGCAGAACACTCCTGCTGTAATTGTGGAATGTTTCTCTCTCTCTCTCAGGGTGGCGTACTTAGCAGGAGAGCTTGCAAAAGCTCTGAAAACAAAGCAGCCAGAACTTGGAATCACCAATGAAGACATCCTTTGTGTGCAGATTGCAGGTCTTTGCCATGACCTCGGTGAGTGACACATACCTCTCTACTATTACATGTAATGGGTTTTTAAACCGTACAGTAAAGAGTGAAAATAGAAGTGAAACAATCCACAAACTGTGAGGTAAATAAATGCTTGTGATGTTCTAATGGAGAGGGTTGTGTCAGACAAGTGGCCTCTAATGAAGGCAGAAAATGAAAGGTATGTGGACAACAATTTACATGATCACATGCAAAAACTATAATTTACTTCCTAATGTCAGTTGTCATTTCAGTCTTGTGCTACTGCTAATTAAAGTGCAATAGTTCCTGCATATGTTTCACATTAACTAACAAAGAAAAATTCAGGTGCTCAGATGCCTTTAATGTGAAATATGTACAGCATGTGTTGAATTTTGACTTCAACTTAACAAAGAGAGGAAGAAGGGTAAAACGGAATGCTCTGGGTTTGTTTGAAAACAAGTAGTTCCTCTGACATGTTGTCTTAGCTGATCTGTTCCTCCAAACTTCCATCCATCCATTTTCCTCCGCTTATCCGGGCCCGGGTCGCGGGGACAGCAGTCTAAGCAAAGATGCCCAGACTTCCCTCTCTCCAGACACTTCCTCCAGCTCCTCCGGGGG